ATAAACACGTAGCAGGCTTCCGCTGTGATTTGAGGCAGAACTTCAATTGGTTTAAAATCCGAAATTATCATTAAAAACGCCAGCACTGATTATGAAACAAGACACAGTGACAAAGATAAACATTTAATAATGCAGTATAACCACGTACCTTTGTGCAAAGTTCAACGTGAGTCGGTAATATCCATCCAATGTTTTCACGACACAAATTATTCCTTCTTGTTGTCCTGATCGTCATTTAAAAATCTTGCGAGCTCACGGTTATTCGAAATTACGGAACCAGCTTGTTAAACGGTACACGCTATAAAGGCTGTGGTCCTTTCGTTTAAACCTGCCCTTGATTGCGTGCAGTTCCATAATTTCTTCTACCGAACCGACAGGCCAATTGATATTTGAAATATATCATCCCTGGTGCATGTTTTTCAAAGTTTGGAACAAACAAAAAATATGGTCAGTTTAAGGCGCCACTAGGGGGCGCTTTGTGCTACATTGGCTAATTTTTCTGTCATTCCAATTATCTCAAAAAGTATTGCCTTTTTGTATACACATGTATATTAGTATATTGTAGGCAATGATGTATAGGTCACCTGTGTAAATTCTCAAGGTCGGGGGGTCAAGGTCATCTTTGTCCACTGTGCATCGTAATTTGTTTATTCATGGTTTAACAACACACCTTAATCATTACAATTTATTTTTTCCCTAGGAAGTGTAATTGACATGGAGACACTCTTGAATCTAACGAATGACGACACAATGGATTTGATGCGTGAATGTTCTTTCAAGGAAAGACTTCTGTTTCGGAAGATCCTCTTGCAGCATCAGAACAGTAACCAATCTTCTACAAGCAGTCAGGATTCTCATATCACAGACGGTTCCACTCCGCATAAAGGTTCCACTCCGAAGAAATCAGCCGGTTTCATGTCCACTTCATCTTCTAATGCCGAGAATATACTCAACCCACAAAGAAAAACATCAGGACAGAAGTGGACAAAATCCCACTGTAAATTCCACACCGAGCTAAAAGATGCAGCAGTGGCTACACATATCTGGCAAAAAGCCCCAGTCCTTGATGCTATACCAGCGAGGAAGAGGGAGGCATTTCTTACAAAAGTGCGAGAGATACAAGAACTTAATGGTGTCAGTGATGGTATATTATGGAAACACCTGGGCATGTGCCTTCAAAATCGGAGAAAATACATTCGAGACAAAAAACAAGGTAAACGGAAGACCAAGAAAAATGCTACGCGTGAAACTCCAGCCCCACAGAGTCTGGCTGCACAGATGCATGGTCAACGAACACCAGAAAAAACAACATTAGGCACGCCCAGAACAGTCACCCCACGGAAGCAAACGCCACAAAAACAGATGTCAAAAAAAAGAACGCCACCAAAAAGTTTGCAGGAAAAAGGGTAAGACACCAGAAAAAGGGTTGAATGGAAAAGGAACACTAGAAAACGAACCAAAAGGAAAACCAACACCAGAAAAGGGACTGAAAGGGAAACAAACATCGCTAACTACAGCAAGTACACAGAACGAGAAAGTAATAAAACTGGGATCTAAAGTTACTTTCTACAGTCAGAATAATGAAAAACTTGGAATTGCATCATTGGTTGCTTTCAAAAATGAACAATTTGCAGAAGTGACATTCATAAAACTATTCAAAAATGTGGATTGTAACAGTGAACTTTATGATAAAGAAGTGAGTGTCTCGGATCTTAGAGCAAAAGACCTCTTTTTCTGGAGAAGGTCAAGACTTAAGATGTTTGAACCAGCTGATCATGGAATAAATCCAAAACCAAAGGTAAGAAGAATTAAATACACTTGAGAGAAGCCCAAATAATATAAAGCACCAGACACATGAAATAATGTTGTTTTTGCCAATCTGGCCCTTTGGCCCAAAGGGCCAAGTGAACTTTTGTCATGGTCGACTGAGTGATGTTCGTCATCCGTCCGTAAATGTTTTCTTTACACAACTTCTTCTCAAAAACCACTTGAACAATTTTGATCAAACTTGGCAATTAAGTAATCGGTAGGCAAAGAGGATTCAGATTTGTATATGTTACCAGATTATATATCCCATACCAAAATTTGGTCACCGTGACCTACTTTGTTAGGAAATATAGGCAATTACAGAATTTTTTATTTTGGGTTGTATTTACCTTACAATTCATTGCTAGATCTTAAAACTGTGTGTGGTACATGCTCATGAATAGCCAATATATATAGACAAATTTCGTTAGGGTCATATCTTCATTAATCTTCACCAACATCTAGTACATCCTTACGGTGTCTCCGTTGCCAATATGACATCGGATAATATATTTGGTCAATGCCGCTAAATATTCCTTATTTCGACGCAAGGGACCTCATGACGGGTGCCACATGTGGGGCAGGGGCAGGAAATGCTCACCCATCGCAAACACCTGATTTCACCTCTGGTTTGATAGAGGTTTTTGTTGTCCTGTTATATGTGTTCCTTTGTTTCCTTATTTTGTTGATGTCTCCGGATTACGTCCCTCGTCTAGATCTTACTCCCTTAAGTACACGTTACAAGGTATTCTTTCTATACTGTCTTATCACTTATTACTTATGTTTTTGTGGGCCACATTTATTACCAGGTGAGCATCTTTACTCTTAAGGCCCCTTGGACCTCTCGTATTGAATTTAAATTCTTTCATCACTTACAATTACAGGCAAGTGACAGTGCAGAGAGAGCTTGTGATTGTGGAAGAACCAATTTCAAATTGGCTGTGATGGAGTGGGCGGATGGCCTATTGTATTTTGGAATACTAGATGAACATGGAAACACCATCAAAAATTGCAAAAGTCCTGTGGGACAAGTGTCTGGAACAAAATTCAAAGTTGTTCAAAGCTTCACCAAAGAAATGTTGAAATTGAATCCAACAGATGTTCAAAAACTGAAAAAGTCTGGGATGGAGTACTTAGTCAGTGCCATCGGGAAAACCGATTTCTCAGTATCTGCGTCTGGTCAAATCAAAATCCATGACCATGATGCTGTGGCAATAAGACTGAAGAAAAATGTCATTACTTACCTCCGTCAGGGTAATGGTATGGAAACAGAGTCAAGCTCATCCAGCTCCGATTCAGACTGATGATATTAATACTTACCAGCATAAATGTCATGGATATACGTACATGCAGCTACTCGTATGCTCCAACTCGGACATGGTGAACAATTCTTGTTTGTGTTTATATATGCGAATGTTCTCTGAATTTAACGGGAGATTATCATTATGTATTGCATATACTAACATGCAATACCAGGATTATAGCTGAAACGAAATATTCGCGAATGAATAGTTAATTCCAGTATTCGAATGCTATTTTTGGTATTCAAATATTCGGTTTAGAATACATCTTCATGTTTTAATGCATTTGTTGTCAACTTTTATCACAAATTATGTGGGACTGCAATATTGTTTACCATTTCCTTAATGTCTCGCATGCAATAAGTATTTTAATGCATTTTAAAATAATTGTTTAAATCACTCATGCATGACACTGTTGACAACTGAAGATAAACTGTTTTATATTGTACCCGAATATTTGAATAATATTTGAATGTTGCTTAGGAATATTCGAATGTTGAATTTAGGTATTCGTTTCAGTTCGATCTAACCAGGATGCAATGGATACAGACTTGTGCTGTAGTTTCGACATTTGAATCCGCAACATTTTGTCTAGTCAGTACATTTACACAAGGGATCATTTTGAACTTGCGCAGTTGTGCAAAGACAATTTTTCAGTCTGTGCATATACCAGCTGGTATACATGTATGTGAATGTTTTGTATGCTCCCAACTCGAAATGGAGGGGGCATTAAGAATTACCCTTGTCCGCCCGTCACTCCATCTTTCCGATAAGATAGATCTTGTCCGGGACATATTTCCTGAACCGTTGCATGTATTAAATTCAAACTTGGTATGGTTGTTAACAGCATAAGACAGAGTGTTGGGTACCAAAACGGAGTTCGTGACCTCGAGGTCAAAGGTAAAAAGCAGGGCCCCGTCTCTGAAAATTGCTTGTGTGGGACATATATTTCCTCAACCGTTGCATAATATTGAATTCAAACTTGGCATGGATGCATAACCGGTAACAGCATAATGCTGTGTGTCATGAACCAAAACTGGGTTCGTGACTTCAAGGTCAAAGGTCAAAATCCAGGTCTCGTCTTGGAAAATCTATTGAATTGCCTTTCCAATGTATACCGAGTCTGTAAAATGAGACCTGGTATATCTTTTTCCACCTGTTCTAGTAAGGGTTGATACTCTCCGTATGCAAACACTATTTGTGTAGGATTTTCTTCAAACATGCCCGAAGCCCGTCTTAAAATATCAAAGGTAAGGGTCGTCTTACCGGACATCGTAGCCCCTGATATCAGTATAGTCGTTGGAAATTTAAATGGTAAGAGATTTTGTTTCCCACCAGGAGTTTACTGAAAACATGATGTATTCTTCTGTTAAGTCAGACGTTGAATGAGCCATAAACGCATATTTTTCATCTCATATAGACAAGTTACACACAAGTTTGACTACTCATCATTTTATTTACAAGCAACTAAAATCATGGGACACATATTCATAGACATATTTGTCTGGCGAATTACATTGTTTCAACAGATGTACAATATCAAACATCGACGTTTTTTTACTTTTCATTAATATATAAAACAAAACGTGATATCCACATGTCAATGCTCCTTTACGTTATTGTATAAACAAGAAGTTGAGTTTTTCTTTAAAATATGATCAAAATGTTCATTGTAATGTATGGGTAATTTTCCTAGACTGTCATAGAATTCTGCATGTGTGGGACTCTGGAGCCAGAACACTACTCAGTGTGTTCCCGGTAGGTGGGAGCGGTATGTGTTACACACGAAGACGGATGGGTACGTGATGTCACGAGGCAAAGTGTCGCTCGAACAAACGTTATGACTGACGGAGAGTTTCAGTTCTCTGAGGGCACATTGGAGTTGATCTGTGTTCATACTTGTGTGTATTTAATGTCCCTGGACTGGTCGATCTCTATGAGAGCCGGGAATTCCGCATAGGCTACACAGTTTAGGGTTTCCGTGGTGTTGCTTGCAAACCTCACCTCGAGTCTGACGCAACCCTGCCTGACCAGATTTATATATTCCTCTCCAAGACCACTGGGTGTTAGATTGAAACCGTAAATCGCAAATCCTTTACTGAAATTTTCTCTTGTAATCATAAGTCCCGAATCATGGTTCCATTTCTCGGCAACTTCAAACAGGTTGACGAATGGTGTGACGTAATTCCTGTTGTCTCCCACGTCCATCTTAATGGGACGAGCAGGTATGCTCTCTCCATTGACGTAGATACCTATTTCCTGTGCAAGGTTCAGGAAATTAAATGGATTTTTAGTGTAATCTCCGTTCACGGCCGTCTGTTTGACGAAAGCAAAATACACTTTTGTAGGTAGATTGTTGGACCAAACGTTCTGCCAAATGAAGGTTCCCGATCCAGATGGACATGTGTTCATCTTTACCTCTGTTCTCGTCAGGGGGTATTTTGCCGTGACCTCCTTGAGTATTTCAGCATGGTTTATGAGCACGCCACTATCCACCCTGACCATGCAAGCTTTGAATGCCACGTCTTGTATTTCAAGCTTATATGCTGGACTGGTTTCTCCACTCTTCACTATGAATGGAGCCCTGTTACGAAATAGCTTCAGGTGTAAGTCGACTCCATTGACAAGGTACTTGTCCAATCTAAATATGTCTTCGTACAGTGGTCCTTCAATGTCAAAAATTCGACTTTTCTGTGTATATTCATACCTATACAGCAAACCAGCATTTGATCCCGTAGCAGCATCGGGATCGTCCATGTCGTAACCGTCCTGGTAGTACAATTGGGATTGAAGTTGAGATTGGGTCACGTCCTCTCCACTGGACAACAGTACTTTGAGATATGCTTTCCATGGATAGTTACTGGTGTTGAGAGACACCAATTTCCCATTCATGTAAGTATCTACTTGAGACCATATGCTCTGTAGCGGTAAGTGGACAATGCCTGTTTTCTCCTGTGGATCTAGTACAGTGCCGTCGGCTTTTAATATTCTCCCTTTGACGTAAAGTGTAATAAACTGTTTATGTAATTTTCTGTTCGCACAGATGATTTCTCTGTGGTAAGGGAGGTAACAGGCCCTCTCTGCGAGTCTGACAGAGCATATGATCCGTCCAGCGCGTCAGCCTCTGCTTCAGCAGCAGCAGCAGCCTCCTTCTCAGCAGTGAGAACTTCCAAATCTACTGCGAGAGCTTAAGTTCAGCCTCCCTCCCTTTGACGTAAAGTCTTGATCTCCTCAAATCCATGTATTCACTCCCCTGACCGGGTACGGATATTTCTATCGGCGCATCTTCTGTACTAAACGACGATACGGGTCTACATTCGGCAAAATATATCTTTTCTACAGCAACCTGATTAGGTGGAACCGTGAAAAGGGACAGTTCCGCAGGTTGTGCAATGTCTTTAAGTTTGTCACTAAGGAAAGCCATATTTTACTTTTTGGAATTTCGTGTATACGTTTGGCTTTTCGTCCTCACTGTTTCCTACACGTTTTCTCTTTTTCCTAGGCGGTTGTCTTTTAACCGTTGTTGACCCTTTGAAAGCTCTCTCAGAACTGAGCGGAGACGCAGTTTTGGCGCGTTTTATATTTTTTCCCACGGGCACGTGGGGAGCGTCATCTTTGACGGCTTCCTTCATCTCTGATTTTGCCCTCTCTTCTACTGCGGCAGTGGGCGTGACCTGTTTACCAATGACAATCTTATTTTCGTTTTCCATAGTCGCGTGGGGGTTGACGGGTATCATGTATGGTTTCTTGCTGTACATCCCAGCTATTCCTCCTCCAGCATGCCGCCCTCTGTAACGTCCGGGATCAAATTTCCCGCTCATCATGTTTTGATAAAACAATTTCCATATCCTAGGGTCCGACACGTACGTAGATCCAATCATTCTCAATGAAAAGGGTTCTGTCTGAGGAGAAGTGTCACCGTCACGGTACCTTTGATGAATATGGCAGGTTGACCGTAACTGTCCTTTATATACAAATGAACGTCACTAAAATGACCAATTCTGAGGGGCAGACGGCCGTGAACGGAGATTACACAAAAAATCCTTTCACGTTCCTGAACCTTGCTCAAGAAATCGGTCTCTACGTCAACGAAGAAAGCATACCTGCGCGTCCCATGAAGATGGACGTTGGAGACAACAGAAATTATGTCACACCATTCGTCACTCTATTTGAAATTGTAGAAAAATGGAACGATGATGCTGGGCTAACAATCACCAGAGAAAATTTCTCTCAGGGTTATACGGTTTACGGATTTACTCTGACGCCTAGTGGACTCAGAGAGGAATATATAAACCTGGTCAGACATGGCAGCGTCAGACTGGAGGTAAGGTTTGCAAGCAACACCACGGAGACCCTCAATTGTGTAGCCTATGCAGAATTTCCAGCCCTCATTGAGATCGATCAGACTCGAGACATCAAATACACTCGAGTATGAACACAGAACAACTTGAATGTGCCCTGAAGGAACTAAAACTCTCAATAAACTACAGTGTCTGTTCGAGTGACAATTTACCTCGTGACGTCACCTACCCAAGCATCATAGTGTGCAATATCGATCCCTCTCATCTACCCGAAAGCCACTGGGTATTGTTTTGGCTTCAGAGTCCCACACATGTGAAATTCTATGACAGTCTGGGACGATTGCCAGGACATTACAGCGAGCACTTTTAGATATTTTTTAAGAAAAACTCTACATCGTGTTTTTTCAATAACATACAAGTTCAAAGAAAAGGATCATTCACTTGTGGATATCACGTTTTGTTTTATATCTTGATGAAATTTAAAAATATGTCGATGTCGGTTGACTGATTCTGTGAGTTGTAGTGCATTATTGTGACGTGCTTATCACTATCACAATCCTCACATCGAATAGCTGCTTTACAGTCACGTCGTTGGTTTGCAGTAGAACAACACCGGAAACAAAGATTTCTTTCTTGAAGAAACTTCCTTCGTACGTCGATAGGTTTAGAGCTGAACTTCTTACATTTGAGAAATGAATGATTCATGTTATGGAACGGACAAAATTCAGTGATGTCTCTGACGACTGTATCCAATGTTTCTGAAGGCTTGTTTAAGTGATCATAAGATGTTGTCTTTCTTGTGTAGATTTTCTGTTTGGGATCCCTCTGATTTTGTTTAGGTGCCACGTTCACAGTTGAGCCTGGTGAGTTATCATACTGAAAACTGGGGTTATTCCTGATCTTGCTCTGATCCCGAATGAACTCACAGAAATGTATAAAGGGCAGGTAACTCACATTGTGTCTCTCTATGTACCTATGAGCAGTCATTGTCCATTTTTCCTGAAGATAGTAAGGTAGTTTGTTTACCACAGGAATGACACCAGTTGATGAGTCAAAATATGCCAACAGTGATATATATCTTGAGTCAGATTTCACAGCCTTTATCTCGGACAAAATGTCAGAAAGCTCATATAACTTTCTTGAGTCTTTGTCTGAGAGCTTGGGAAAAAGTTCCAGTTTTTTTCTTAAGTGAGGCTTCAATGCTTTCTGGGGCACCATATCTCTCATAAAGTCTTGCCCAAATTTCTTGAATTCCTTGACCGGGATCACTGCAATATGCTGAACGCATATTGATAACTTGTTCCTTTGACCCTGGTCCAGCCCATTTGGTGAGAAGATCCATCTCCTCTAAGGCAGTCACAGAAAGTTCGCTCATCTTAGACTTGAAGCTATACTTCCATGCTTGGTAGGTTTCGGGCATATCATTGAAAGGCGTCAAGCTTGCAAACAGTAAGTCTTTCTTTAGAAGCAGTTTGGTGATTTCTGTCGCAGTGACTGGAGGTGGAGGTACTACCGGGGGATAGAGTGGAACAAAGGTTTGAGCAGTAGGATTCAAAGTCATTTTCTCACTCTCATGTGTCAGATCATGATCATCCAGAGTCTTTATTTTTGCGCCTTTCTCCTTATCCATGGTTCATACAGATCTCTTGACATATTTTTCAAGCACTTTTCAAGCACTTTCATGGCAATTTTTCAAGCACTTTTCAAGCACTTTTTGAACGAAAAAAATGACATATATATTCAATAAAATATGAAATAAAATAGAAGGACAACAAGACAAAGAAATCAGTTTGTTTTCTGACTTTATTCCTTCATTTCTTCAGCTGCTCAAGTTTTTCATTCAATTTACCTGTAATTAATTCTAACTGTTCCATTTTAGCTTTAGCAGTTCTCTTAAGAGAATTTGCTTCTGTAACAAACGAGATTTTTCCTGTGCTTTCTGCTTTCTCATACAAGCCATCTGAACTTTTTCCAAGAGACTGAATATCAGCCTCTAACCTTGCTCTCTTCTTTTTCAGTGTATCTAACTCTTCCAAAACCCTCTTTCTCTTACTGTTTTCTTCTGCACTTTTCTTTTGCTCTCTTTCACTCTCAAGATGAGCTTCATACCTCTGTCTTGAAAATTTGGCAGCAACTAGTAGCTCTTTACTGAGTACAACCTTATCAATGCCACCCACACTAGAGACATGGTCACAAATAGTTCTTTGTGCAGCTAAGGTATTGAGGGACATGTTCTCAACTTCAAGCTTCTTGTTGACACTGAAGCCCCTCTCTACAGTAGCTTGGCCATGAGATAGACTGAGCAACATTTTGATAGTTTTAAGTAACACTGAATACTCACCATCTCTCTCACCCCCTGCAGTCATTTCCTGAAACAAATCATCCACCCTGTCTTTGTTAGAATTGAAATTTGTGAATCTTTCACTGCCAAACTGTGGTATGTTCTGGATAAATGCAGCATACTGCTGCAAACACACTTCACAATCATTTTCTGTCATTCGCTTTGCATCTTTAAGAAGTTTCAGAAGCTTTCTAAACATTGTCACACATTTTTCTCCATCTGATACCATCTTCACTGGGCTCAGACAGGACAGATATCTCACAATAGAATACTGTACAGGGGACTTTGTCAACAGTTTTTTTAGAACTTGTACAATGAACTCCTTACAGGCCATTCTGAACTCCATTATCTCTCTTTCTGATACATTCACAGACTCTTTCAAGGCATCATCACAGGCAAATCCAACATCAACCTTTTTGTACCCAACATGTAGTTTCCTATCATCAATATCCAGTTTGATTAACTGATCATCAGTTCTAGACTGCAGCTCACTCGTTTTAATGATTCGCCTCTGAAGACCCTTTATTATATTACCAAGATCATCACTGAGAAACACCACCATGGGCCTGCTTGTCTGATACTTTGCCAGAAAGGGCTGTAGATGCATAGCTATGCATTTAAAGAAACATAATTTTGCAATCAAGAGTTTGTCTTTTTTGCACATCTCGCTCACAACAGCATATGACTTGCAACTTGGCTTGCTAACTTTCTTCTCATCAACAGCTTTCACATATTTTTTCACATTTTCAATTATTTGCAAAGCTCTGTCTGATACAGGGACATTTTCTAACCACCTATGACTGACAAATTTCAAAGGTAGTAAACCACCTGCTACACTGGCAAAGTCATCCCTTCGGGCAGGGGAATCCTTGAAGAGATAGTACAAGCTAGATAAAAAGGACGAAATGTTCCACTGGGTAGACTCTGCCCCAGCTTTGAATGCATTATGCACTGTGTGTAGTCCACAACTTCCGAGATTCAACAGATGAGTGTCATAATCTTTCACTAGCCTGTCCTTCAGCTGGGAGTAAAACTTCCAATTAACGTTTGGACCATCCATCCCGACTTGTACAAGGTCTTTTACAGGTAATTTTTCCAGCACAGCCTCTGAAAAATGCTGGAGCATATCATCAGCTGTGGCATGTCATCAAAAACAGACAAAACCAGGTTATACATTTTCAACATTTACATCCGAATTATTCAGTTTTAAATCAATATGAATTTAATTGTATTTTCTGTTATTTACTAAT